GTTTGAATGTATCTTTGTGTCACTTTGGGGTTTTAAATTTAGTCTCTTTCTGTAATCGAAAGTAAGACTGCATTCCGGGAAAACAGGACATCCTGTTTTTCTCTTTCTGTAACTGAAACTGTATTCCGGGAACAGCTGGTTCTCTCTCTGTAAGCGAAAGTGAGACACATGCTGGTGGCCGCGGAGGGGATGGTGTTTCTGTACCACCGCTGAGCCCGGCTGCCTGGAGGGAGCCCTGCTCTGAACTACGCTTCCCAGCAGCCCTTGCTTGCCAATTGAAGGAAGTGGGTGCGGTGGTTCGTCCTGGACTTTGGGAAGAGATTTTAAGCCTTAGAAGAAGCCGCACGCTCCTGAAGATCCTGTTAGACACAACCCGTGTCTCTTCACAAAGCAGGGCAGCTCCTCTCCTCGGCAGCAGAGCTGGGATGGCCGTGCAGGTGACAGTTCTGCCTTCCCCCAAGTGTCTGTACGATGACCCTGTGCAGATCTGTGTGGCGGGTCTCCAGCCGGAGCAGGCTGTCACCCTCCGAGCCCAGCGTGGTGGACGAGATCGGGGAGCTTTTCGAAGCCCAAGCTCACTACAGAGCTGATAGCAGTGGAGAGCTCGACCTCAGCCACTCCCCAGCGCTGGGGGGCAGCTACTCGGGAGTGGAGCCCATGGGGCTGCTGTGGTCTCTGAAGTCTAAAACACCCTATAAGCGGCTGGCAAAGAGGGACGTCCTGAGCCCTTTCTGCGTGGACTTTGAAGTGTATGAGGGCCACGGGGACATGAGCTGCTTGCTGGGAAAATGCACCAATGAACGATGGTTTTTGAAAGAGGGGGTGACGAGGATTCCAGTCAGAGAAGGTCGTCTGAAAGCAACCCTCTTCCTTCCTCCTGGTGAGTTTTCATTCTGTTCTGTTTTTCCAGATGTGACTTGCACCACTTATTATGCCCCATGGGCCCTTTATGCTCTTGGCAACCCAGAGCAAAGCCTCAGCTAACGGTTCCCTGGGTTTGGTCTGGCTGCTTGTGTCCCCAAAGCAGAGCAGGGAGGAGCAGGCGCTGCCCAGGCAGGTCAAGCCCCGAGGCGAGGGGGGGTGCAGGAAGGGCAGCGGTGGGAGGCATGTCCTGTTTGCTCTAGCTGGTGGGGTCAGGACCTCTCCTGCAGTGAGAGGTCTGGGGAAAAGTGTGTTTGTTTTTTAGCTCTTCTGTTTAGCTAAGAGGACAAATAGACCCCTGGTCTTCGGCAGAGCTGTGAAGCGTGATGGGCTCTGGCTGTGGAGTGTGGAATGAGGAGGTGTGGTGAGAGTACTGGACTGGGGCTGCAGCCAGCCTAGGCTGCTCCAACAGCTGTCATGGATCTTCCTGCAGGCTCTGGAATTGTCTTTCTGTCTCTCTCTTTGGCTAAGGAAAAGCCAGAGATAGAAGTCTTTACCTGGTTGAGCAGCTCAGCTGCATGGGATACTTAGAAAGATGGGAGACAAATGATAAAAGCAGGGTCTTTAATTAAACAGGCGTCATATGCCACAGCTCCGTACCGAGGCAGTGCCGAGTGGATCCTGTGTAAAGCTGCTCTGAGCCCTGATATGTTCCTTGAGCAGTACTTAAATGTGAATGTCTTGCTCTGTATTGAATAAAAAGTCTGCTGTGACACCAGGTCTTGTAAGGGAGGTCTGGCTGTACGAATGGGCAGAGCAACAGCAGGAAAGGAAGGTCCTGCGAGGACCTGCAGCTTTAACTGAAGGAAAAGAGGGAAATGTACAGGAAGTGGAAGCAGGGTTGTGTAGCCTGGGAAGAATATAGGGGCGTTGTCTGGATGTGTAGAGATAGGACCAGGAAAACCAGGGCACAGATGGAGCTGAACTTGGTGAGGGACGTGAAAAATAACAAGGAGGGGTTCTACAGGTACATAGGCAGGAGGAGACAGGCCAAGGGGAGTGTTCCCACTCTGATAAATGAGAAGGGAGAACTGGCTTTCTCAGACGTGGAAAAAGCTATGGTACTCAGTAAGTGCTTTGCCTCAGTCTTCACTGGTGGCCAGGCTTTCCATGTCTGTGAGGACCCTGAACCTCTAGGTGACGGTGAGAGGAGTGGAACCCCTCCAAGCTGAGTGGTGCAGTCGATACAACAGAGGGAAGGGCTGCCATCCAGAGGGACCTGGACAGGCTGGAGAAGTGGGCCCATGAGAACCTAATGAGGTTCAACAAGGCCAAGTGCAAGGTGTTGCAGTTGGGTTGGGGCTACCCCAGGTATTTATACAAACTGGGAGAAGAACTCCTTGGGAGCAGCCCTGCGGAGAAGGACTTGGGGGTCCTGGTGGATGAGAAGCTGGACATTAGCCAGCAGTGTGCACCTGCAGCCTGGAAGGCCAACTGTGTTTTGGGCTGCATTAAAAAAGGGGTGGCTAGCAGGGAGGGGGAGGAGATTGTCCACCTCTACTGTGCTCTTGTGAGACCCCATCTGGAGTACTGTGTCCAGGCCTGGGGTCCCCAGCACAAGAAAGATGTGGAACTCTTGGAACAGGTCAGAGGAGTGCCACAAAGGTGATCAGAGGGCTGGAGCACCTCTCCTATGAGGAAATGTTGAGGGAACTGGGCTTGTTTAGCTTGGAGAAGAGAAGGCTCCGGGGAGACCTCATTGCAGCCTTCCAGTACTTGAAAGGAGCATATAAACAGGAGGGGGAACCCCTGTTTACGAGGGGTGACAGGACGGGGGGGAATGGTTTTAAACTAAGGGGAGATTTAGGTTGAATATTAGGCAGAAATTTTTCACTCAGAGGGTGGTGAGGCACTGGCACAGGTTGCCCGGAGAAGTTGTGGATGTCCCGTCCCTGGAGGCATTCAAGGCCAGGCTGGATGGGGCCCTGGGCAGCCTGCTCTAGTGGTTGGCAGCCCTACCCACAGCAGGGGAGTTGGAACTAGATTATCTTTAAGGTCCTTTTCAACCCAGACCATTCTATGATTCTATGTCTGCAGGAGGAAAACTGAGCAATTGGGGGGTAATTATCCAGATGAGACTGAAGTCTGAATTGGTGTAGGTCAGTGCTGGCATTTGTGGGTGCATTTCCTAACTCAAGTGTTCCTTCTGTGGAAAACCTACTAGCACAAGTCCTAAAGAAGTGTAGCACATGCAGTGGTACCATTTGTTCATCCGTGCCCAATGGCCTGAGAACATCTAGGCCAATTTCAGCTAAAATTCTTGGTGGGAGAAGGACGCCCAACATACCAACTTCCCATAGTGAGTTCCTAAGAGAGAGGACAACTATCCCAATTAGTTTTTTTACAGTGATTGTGCATGTGCCTGAGAATGAGAATCTCCATGGAAAGCTTCAGAGGATGATTTCTTTTTGATATTTACTGTCCTGATATGTGCTGAGGAGGCACTGCTGAAAGGACAACTGTAGAAACTTTTCTCTTTGAGCATATATATAGATATAGATACATACACACCTTTCATTGCAGGACCTGGTCCATTCCCTGGACTTGTTGATTTGTATGGATCCGGAAGAGGTCTTATGGAATACAGAGCAAGTCTCCTGGCTAGCAGAGGCTTTGTGACTCTGGCTCTTGCTTATGTGGCCTTTGAAGGTCTCCCTGCTGTGCCAGAGGCTCTTGAGCTGAGCTATTTTGAAGAAGGTCTAAACTTTTTGCAGAAGCAGCCACAGGTAAGAGACAAATTATGATGCTTATCCTGTTGAAAATTATTTTCCAGTTTTCTAATGTGAAATGCTATATGTCACTGAATGCAACTAATTTTCTGAGATGTCAGAAGGAGATAGCATTGTCTGAAAGACAGCATGATCTTAGAGATAGAAAAGCATAAGCCTCAGCTTCAGTTTTGCAAGTAGTTGTATATCTGGTTTTGCACAGCATCTTATGACAGTCCATACAGTGTTGTGCAAACCAGTGTTTGTGCAAGATGAAATCAAAGCAATTCCTGGACTAGAAGCACAACACTGCTTAGTATTTTTCCCTACTTTTGCATCTTTCAAGATTTTAGAAGGGGAAAAAATCCATTGACTTTTTGTACTATTTCTGAAATGTTACAGGCTTTTCATACTGAGTAAATTTCTCAAGACAGTAATAAAATACTTTAACAAAATAATCCTTTATGGTTATAGCACTGGAAAGTGTGCCATGTCTTAAGAAACTGAGGCTGTCCTTAAACAAGTGTGTGGGATGGAAGAACACTTTATAGCAATACATAGTCATACTTAAAGCAAAAGAGACCAAGAGAAATCAAGTAGCATTTAAATTTTGAATGGAATGCTACCTAATGTGGTGTTCATTTCACAGAGTTGTTTATTTTCTAGCACGTGGACACCAGGAATGCAGCCAGTGGACAGCAGAATACAGCTTTGCTTGCTTGTCTTGTTCCTCACAGAACTCTGGAACTCCTGTAGAATCTTGCAAGGCACACATTACAAAATGAATTTGGTGTGAAGAGCCTTCATTATAAATAAGTTGATTTAAACAGTTGGGTTTACTCAGCCTCAGGTGTAATGAACCTTATGTGTTCCAAGACAAAACAGAAGATAACAAGTCAGCTGTAGGAGAGTATAAAAAAATAATGGCATGAAAGAAAATCAATGCAAGTAAACTTGTTAAAAAGTGATTTTCCATAGGGGACCTTGAGCAGTGAAGATGTAGGGGGTTTGGAGACAGGAGCAGTAAAAGACACAGTATTGAGAGCAAGTGTCGAGCCAGGATGTGGAGAGAGCAAAGAGGCTTTGTCTATAGAGGTCACCAGGGAGAAGGTGTGTTACAGGAGGAGAAGTGTTGAGGAACTGTAGAATTCATAGTCACTCTTGTGGAGGCTCAGCAAAGGGATAGATAAGGGAGTGATGTAACTGGAACAGAGAGGGAAGGATAAAATACAGGTGGTCTTAGTTGGATGAGGAATGCAAAGCAGAACTGGAGATGTTATGTCAGAGCCCAGGAAATGGAGAACAGTTGATAATGGTTGTTTCATAACTGTGTTTCAGGTGAAAGATACTGGGATTGGCGTTTTGGGCTTGTCTAAAGGAGCCGATCTAGGTCTCGCCATGGCCGCATTTCTACCTGGCATCAAGGCAGCTGTCAGCATATCTGGAAGTGGTATTAATTATTTCGTTCCTTTGCGGGGGGATGGTTTCACTATTCGTGAACACCCATATGATTTGAAGAGGATAAAGAAGAATGACGAGACTGGCCTAGCAGAATTTTCAGAGCTCCTAGATGATCACACGGACCCATCAACTTGGGATTGTCGCTTGCCACTGGAGAGGTCCTCAGCCAAATTCCTCTTCCTGTCAGGACTGGATGACACGACCTTGAAAAGTGACCTGTATTGCCGGGATGCTGTTCAGCGCCTTCAGCAGCATGGACGGGAAGTGGAGTTTTACTCCTATCCTGGAACAGGGCACCTCTTGGAGCCACCATTCTTGCCTCTGTGCCAGGCTTCAATGTACAAAACACTCGAGGTGTATGCTCGTTGGGGAGGGCAGTGGAAGGAGCATGCCAAAGCCCAAGAAGATGCCTGGCCCAGGATACAGGACTTTTTCTGGCGACACTTGGGGGACTGAGACATGTCTAATTGCAAGCTGTAGTGGAAGATGTCAAAGATGCTGACCAGGGTTGGCATTTCAGCTCTCACTGAATCTTGGAAACTCAAGGAAAGTTTCCTGGCTTGCCTTTCTCTAAACCCACTGCTGCATAGTTTTTTTATTTTCATTATCTGAGTGAAGCCTTTGACCATCTTTGTGCCTATAAATACATAGGCAGCAATCCTGGTGTAGTCACAAGCTGTCGCTTTGCCTGGCTGAAGAGCTTATATACAGATGTTTATATACAGAAGGGAGGAAGAATAAAGCCACTGATGCTGCTGAGTTCCCCAGAGCTGTCTCAGTGGCCTTGCCACTAGAGCAGACAGCTGTCGAGAAAGACTGAAAAAGCTAATTTAGCTGAGCAACTCTGTGCCAAATACAAACAGGAAAATATGCCAGCCAACCCAGTTGCACTGGGAATTCTTTTTGAATCAGCTGGCCTTTTACAATTAAACTCAAGTTTGAAACTTATCTTCAGGAGAGACTGGAAACTAAAGGGAGATTAATATCAAGTAATTGCAAATGGCCTAACTTCAATAAAATGCTTATGCCTGTTCTTAAGCGTGTTCTTCATTGCTTTGCTGACTACTTAATGTTTCTTCTGCTGAAGAGATGATTTAGACAAATGGGGTTAAGATCAATTTTTTTTTTTCCAAGTTAGTGGCAAAAAAATCTACTTGTTGCAGCCCGTAGAGTCAGGGTGCTTTTAATAATTTCTCCAGGCTTAGAGAGTACAGACAACATTGTTCAAGAACAATAAGAAAGTTAATATTTAATTAAAGATAATTGACCTTCAGATGCAAAAGAGAGCCTATGCCAAGCACAACTGATAAAACTAATAAAAATTGGATGGGGAAAGCTATTCTTGTAATCTGCTTGTAATTGAAAAGTGCTTCAGATAAAATAGGGCATCAAAGGACTTGCTTGAACTGAAAGATCTCAGCTGGATGCTTAGATCAGTCATCCCTTCGTTTAGCACTTTGCACTACGTCTGCTATGAGAATGAGAAAAGCTTGTGACAAGTCTCTTAAGAAACTGGGGAGCAATCTCCAACACATATGCTGCTATGAACAAATTTATTGTAAGAGAACAGTACATCTTGCAGTGCTCTTTTGAGGCTGGATGATTTCCCTAGCTGATTTGGAATTGGTCAACAATAGAGATTGCTGATTTGCCAGTGCATTCTTAAAATTTTCCTTCTTTGCTCTGGTTCAACTTGTGGTCTCTCTACATAGAAAGGAGACTACCCCAAAAAGAAGAGAACTGGTGTGAAAAAGCATGTCCTCAAGTGGAATGTCTCTAAATTCTACTTTAGCCTTACTGTCCAGACCCCACGAATCTGAAGTAATCTGGTTAAATGTGATCTAAGTCATATGAAGCATATATAGCTTATTATTTTAAATCAGGTGTCCCTGAAGCAGGCCATGGGCTGTTTGCACACTGTGAGACCTTTGGACGCAGCTTATCCTTTTCATTGTGGGCTTTCTGTATCACAATGCAGATTATTTTCTTTCCATAGCCCCATCCTGCTGTCCTGTCTGCTCAGTAACCCTTCATTAAAAGCTTGAGGGAGTCCTAACAGTTTGGAAACATTTGAGCACTGCCTGGAGCAATGTCCTTTGTACTTCTCAAGGCTTCTTGAAAAAGCTTATGGGGTTCTTTCCCCATACTTTGCCATGGCTGTGCATAGGAAGAGAGGAGTTCTTGATGTTCTTTACTGGAGACATAAAAGTACCAGGTCCAAGCAGGTACTTGAACACAAGCCAAAGCTGATTCTGAAGCATTTTGATACATGTACAGTGTAACTTGAAGGAAAACTGCAGAATGAAAGTAGTCAAAATGCCTTTATTAGAGAAAAGTGAACCACAGGTACAGAAGTGAAACATCTTTGAGAAAGTAGCTACACATCGAGCACTGTGCCTCTGGAGAAGTGGTAAGTATTTGAGGCTTCAGTGGGATTTTAGTAGGGACTGTGCTGAACAAGATTTCAGTGCAAGTGTGTAACACTAGTAGCTTCCTACCCAGGAGAGGCAGTGTTTCTGGGTGGCTTCTGCAAGCAAGGTTGTTTCCTGGCCACAGGACAGAAGGAATGAGGTGAAAAATGATTCATCATAGAATCATAGAATGGTTTTGAGTTGGAAAGGACCTTAAAGATCATCGAGTTCCAACCCCCTGCCATGGGCAGGGACACCTCCCACTAGCCCAGGTTGCTCAAAGCCTCATCCAGCCTGGCCTTGAACACCTCCAGGGATGGGGCATCCACAACTTCTCTGGGCAACCTGGGCCAGTGTCTCAGCCCCCTCACAGGAAAAAAAAATTCTTACTAATATCTAATCTAAATCTGCCCTCTTTCAGCTTAAAGCCGTTACCCCTCGTCCTATCACTCCACTCCCTGATCAAGAGTGCCTCCCCATCTCTCCTGTAGCCCCCTTCAGGTACTGGCAGGCTGCTACAAGGTTTCTCCCCAGAGCCTTCTCTTCTCCAGGCTGAACAACCCCAACTCTCTCAGCCTGTCCTCATAGGGGAGGTGCTCCAGCCCTCTGACCATCTTCGTGACCTCCTCTGGCCCTGTTCCAACAGGGCCATGTCCTTCCTGTGCTGAGGACTTCAGAGCTGCATGCAGTACTCCAGGTGGGGTTTCACAAGAGCAGAGTAGAGGAGAGTCACTTCCTTCGACCTGCTGCTCACACTGCTTTTGATGCAGCCCAGGATACCATTGGCTTTTTGGGTTGCAAGTGCAAATTGCTGGCTCATGTTGAGCTTCTCATCAACCAACACCCCCAAATCCTTCTCTTCAGCACTGCTCTCAAACCATTCTCAGCCCAGCCTGTATTTGTGCTTGGGATTGCCCCAACCCAGGTGCAGCACCTTGAGACCATACGTTGTGCAGTGTAGTTTAGAAGTGACCTTTCTCCATTATCTGTTTCTCTTTCCTGTCTGTATCTGGAAATCTAAAGATAATGGGGGACTTTTTTTCATAAATTCAAAAGTTACTTAATTCTCTAATACATTACCAGATCATTTGTTATCAAGCTGTGGGAAAAGACCAACTTTTACTGACAAAAACAGTAAAAATTTGTGCTGTTTTAGTATTTTGATAAGATAATTCTACATTTCAGAAAAAATCACTATTCTGCACTTTTTAGCACTCTTTACATGTCATTCAGGAATGGAGTCTGAGCCAAATGTAGTATTAAGTGCAGAGAAAGTGATACTTTGTTTGAAATTTGGCTAGAAGGAAAATTAACGTTTCTGATGAACTAACGCTCCTTGCAGTGTTTACTGCAAAATATCACTGCCATTTGTCATTGCCAAGGACAAAAACCAGAAATGCTAAAACTTGCTGTTTTTCAGAGTTTTAAAAAAAATCATCCATGAAAAATTTACATTAAATCTAAAAATGCCTGGGCCCTGACTCTAGATACTGCTTAGAGAAAAATAATTAAATGAGTTACATTCTATTAATTTGGGCTTGTATCTTTTCAGTGACTTAAGCCACTGAACATTTAACATCTTGTGTTTAGACTGTAAATTTATGTCTTCATGAAAGTCACTGCAGTGAAAGGTGTGGTTTTATGCTGCAGTTTAACTATTCTAAGAATACCTTGCTGCCCAAAGGGACAACCTTGCCTTTTTCTTGCTGATCTAACTGAGAAGTAATCCTGTGGAAAAACAAAGATCACAAAAGAAGATTAAAATGTTCAGCTGGATCAGCGAAGGAAGTAGCCAGACTGCGCATGGGGTTATCTGGAGAAGCAGAGGTGAGTGATGCTGTGCCTTCCAGGGTCAGTGTGGCCTTACGCCAAACCAGGATAACTGAATAATGCTAGCAGAGTTTTTAGTTACGTTTGTAATCGCTAGTCCAGCTGATTCTCAGTTATGATCCATTTCTGTATACAGTGAAGTGAATCCTTGGTGGCTCATTGTGTGCTGCTCTTGTTTACATAGGTCTGGTCCTGAAAGACTGAGGTATTCAGACTGAAATACTGACTGAAAGACTGAGATAGTGGAGAGGAACTTGTGAAACAGGAGTATCAGGTAGGAGACATGCTGGATGGACGGTTCGAGGAAGATGTACTGCATAGGAACAGAGCACGTGCATATCTCTGCCTTCAATTAGAAGGTAAAGTTCACTTCCATCATTTTAATATGCTATGGATTCAGTAAGACAGCTGTGAATCAATAAGCTTGTGCCGCCTGTGGGAGTCTGTCCTTGGACAGTGTCAGTCTGATGTTCTCAAACATCAAGCACTGTCTCAAAATGGGTTAATTTTTCTAGCGTAGGCATTAGCTGCACAGTGCTTTGGCTCCAGCCATCCTCCCATCTTTGGATCATTTCACATCAGAAGTACTTGTCTTCTTGATGCGGGAAGACTACTTTGATACCTGATAATGTCACTATAGTCGTAGTGGAAGGGGAAGAGGTCAGTGGTCTGTACTTTTCCATGGAAATACCACATCCAGTTGCTGGAATAGCCCAGCCCTTGCTGCTTCCCTGGCAGTCTGCATACTGTAAAGCTGAGACCTCCTGGGCTCCATTTGGATCAGCAATGTGCAGGGGCAACTCTGCACCTTCATGCCTCCTGGGAATCTTGTTCTTTCTATGGCCATCTGTATCTGAGGGCCTAATGCCTGCGTTCTCTGTTTTCTCTCCCTTTTGCATAGTCTTGCTGCTGTCCCACTGGCCAGAATTATACTAAGGGAACCTGGACGTGGCCGTTGTTTCCACATTGTTCAGTCTGGGTTGAGCTTGCTGCTACTGAAAACAATGCACATGGCACTGCTTCAGTTCTGCTTGGTTAAAAGGAACATCTGCAACAGTCAGCTAGTTTAACCGTGTCTGTGTGTAAGGGAGCTGGTAGGTCACAGAACAGCCAAGACTGTGTCCAGAGCCAAGCCTTGGCTAAATGGACCAACTGTGATGACTGAGCAGGAGCAGAACGCTGGGAAAAGCCATTCACATCACACCAGCAGAACAC